GGAGTTAGAAGGACATACCTCAACATAATAAAGGCCATATATGACAAACCCATAGCTAATGTCATACTCAATGGTGAAAAACAGAGCTTTTCCTTTAAGATCAGAAACAAGACAAAGATGCCCACTCTTGCCACTTTTAGTCAACACATGGTACTGGATGTTTTGGCTGTAGCAAACAGACAAGAAAAAGAAATAAAAGACATACAAATTGGTAAGGGCGAAGTAAAAGTGTCACTATTTGCAGATGACATGACATTATATATACAAAACCCTAAAGACTCCATCAAAACTCTAGAATAAATGAATTCAGTAATGTTGCAAGATATAAAATTAATATTTGGAAATCTGTTGCCTTTCTATACATTAATAATGAAGTAGCAGAAAGAAAAATTAAGAAAACAATCCCATTTACAATTGCACCACAAAGACTAAAACACCTAGGGATGAACTTAACCAAGGAGGTGAAAGATTTAGAGTCTAAAAACTATAAAACACTGATGAAAGAAATTGAAGATGACCAAAAAATGGCAAAATAGTCCACGCTCATAGATTAGAAGAATTAATATTGCTAAGATGTCCATACAAATAATACTAAAATTTGTGTGAAACTACTGAAGACCCCGAATAGCCAAAGAAATCTTGAGAAAGAAGAACAAAGCTGGAGGCATCACAACCCCAGGTTTCAAGATCTCCTACAAAACTGGAGTAATCACAACACTATGGTACTGGCACAAAAACAGACACACAGATCAATGGAATAGAATAGAAGGCCCAGAAATAAACCCACATTTATATAGTCAATTAATCCATAACAAAGAAGTCAAGAATATTTAATGGGGAAAAGACAGTCTCTTCAATAAATGGTGTTGGGAAAAACTGGACAGCTGCATGCTGAAGAATGAAACTGGGCTGCTTTCTTACCCTGGACACAAAAATAAACCCCCAATAGATGAAAGACCTAAATGTGAGACCTGAAACCATAAATCTCCTAAAAGAAAACACAGCCAGTAATTTCTTAAACATTGCCCTTAGCAACATACTTATGGATATGCCTCTTTAGGAAAAAGAAACAAGAGCAGAAATATACTATTGGGACTACACCAAACTAAAAAGCTTTTGCACAGTAAAGGAAACTATCAACAAAACAAAAAGGTAACCTCATGAATATAAGATATTTGCAAATGAAATATCTGATAAGGGGTTAATATCCAAAATGTATAAAGTACTTATACAGCCTGACACAAAAAACCCAAACAATCTGATAAGAAATGGGCAGAGAACCTGGATAGACACTTTTCCAAAGACACAGATGGCCAACAGACACACGGAAAGATGCTCAACAGCACTAATCATCAGGGAAATGCAAATCAAAACTACAATGAGATATCACCGCACACCAATCTGATTGGCTAAAATAAAAAAGACAAGATACAACAAGTGTTGTTGAGGATGCAGAAAAAAAGGAAGCCTCATGCACTCTTGGTGGGAATGCAAACTGGTGCAGCCACTCTGGAAAACAGGATGGAGGTTCCTCAGAAAATTAAAAATAGAAATACCCTACAATCCAGTAATTTCACTACTGGATATTTACCCCAAAAACCAAAAACACTGATTCAAAACGATAGATGGAGGGGCACCAGGGTGGCATAGTCAGTTGAGCATCCGACTCTGAATTTCGTCTCAGGACATGATCTAGGGGTCCTGGGATCGAGCCCCGTCTTGGGCTCTGTGTTCAATGTGAAGTCAGCTTGAGCTTCTCTCTCTCTCCCCCTGACCCTCCCCACACTAGTGTGCTCTCTCTAATAAATAAATCTTAAAAAAAAAGATATATGCACCCCTATGTTTATTGCAGCATTATTTACAATAGCCAAGATGTAGAAGCAACCTAAGTGTCCACTGATAGATGAATGGATAAAGAAGATTTGGGGTATATATATAGTTGCATAAGCGCGCGCGCGCGCACGCGCGCGCACACACACACACACATTGGAGTATTACTCAGCCATAAAAGGGAATGAAATCTTGCCATTTGTGACAACATGGATGAATCCAGAAGGATTATGCTAAATGAGATAAGTGAAACAGAGAAACACAAATACCATATGATTTCACTCATAAATACATAGAACAAACTGGTGGTTGCCTGAGAGGAAAGGGATGGAAGGATGAGAAACATCAATGAAGGAGGGCGCCTGGGTGGCTCAGTTGGTTAAGCGACTGCCTTCGGCTCAGGTCATGATCCTGGAGTCCCGGGATCGAGTCCCGCGTCGGGCTCCCTGCTCGGCGGGGGGTCTGCTTCTCCCTCTGCCCTCTTCCCTCTCGTGCTCTCTGTCTCTCATTCTCTCTCTCTCAAATAAATAAATAAAATCTTTAAAAAAAAAAAAAAAAAGAAACATCAATGAAGGAGAGTGGGAGGTTCAGGCTTATAGCTTTGGAATGAACAAGTCACAGGGATGAAAGGCACAGCACAGGGAATAGAGTCAATGGTAATGTAAGAGTGTTGTATGGTGCACATGGTGGCCACACTTGTATGAGAACAGCGTAACACAGACTTGTCTAATCACTATGTTGTACACCCGAAACTAATGTAACCTGTGTCAACTACACTTCAATTAAAAAATCCTTAATATATGTTTTAATAATAAACAAATGGGAAGAAACAATAAAGAAATAGGAGCTCAGTTTGGAATCAGGAACCTTTATACTTGGGAATGATTCTACCATTTAATCGGGCTAGAAAATTCTACATCTCCAACTGAATTTCTATTAGCTTACTAAAGAAATCCCTCATTAATTAGAGAAACTTTCCATGGGGCTGTACACCACAGAAACAATGACAGAAACACACACATAGAAGTAGAAGTCCCTTTTCAATGTTGTGACTAATCCTAAACTGGAAGGTTGGTTAAAGGAAGGATATCCAAAGATTGTGAATCTATCAAAGCCTCCTGACCCCAGGCCAGTAATAGCATTAGGGTATCTCTCTTCTGGCAGAAAAGAACATCTGTAAAATGACTAGAAGTGACTGGAATTACAAGTGAACATTTAAATGGCATAAGGAGAAGCCAATGCTATGAAAGAGACAACTCTAGATTATCTGAGCTACTGCTGAGAGCCTCTAACACAGATGATCAACACCAACTCTGGAGGGACTCTGAACTCCTGGAGAGGAGAGAGCTTTACATTCACGGCCCCTGACCCTTGCACATAAGTACGAGGCCTACTAGGAGTGTGCCCCAAGGGGCAGTTTGCTCTTGTGGGGAGGAGCATTTTGTCACTGACATTCTTTAGAGTTGCATGGTGACAATAAAGAGGAGAGACACTTTTAGTCAGTTTTATAACTGTCTTATATTCTCAACAGATAGTATACCCCTATGTCTGTGCCATAGGCTGCACCCCCCCCCCCCCCCCACCCCTTGGTACACAACTGCCACATTTGGAGAGTGATTATTTCCCTGGGATCTCTTGAGACAGAAGAGCCCTTAACTGTCACCTGCCGATGGATCCACTGGGGTCGGGCAGCATAGCCATGTCACCATGCCACCATTGACCCTGTGTGCCATGACCCAGTATATCTCTATCACATGAGCATTGAGCATGGCCTGGAAAGAGGAAGGGAGGGGAGAGGAACTTCCTGAGGACTAAGTAGATTAGGGACCAATGGAAGCATCTAGAAACCAGGGTCTAGTTTATTTTAATGTTTTCGATCAATCCTGCCTTGTTGACAAACATTTGATTTCTCGATCACACTTTGGCAACCACTGTATTCACGATGCATGCTGGAGGTGAGCTGGACCTGGATGCTCTTTAACAAATCTTTTATCCTGATTCATTGCCACCTTGCCACCATGCTGGTTTTAACCTCCCTGAGTGTGGGTCTGCTGTGGCAACACAGAGGAAACACGTCACAGAATTAGGGAGAAGAGATCGCCAAATTCGTGGCCAAAAACAGATCTCTAAGAATGAGTACCTTTCCTTGACTGGTGGGCAAAAGTATGGCAAATGCATGCTTCCTTCCTGTGTTCTGCTGCGTGCCTCCTTTGCCCTATGCAACCCACTGTTACCTGAGTAATACACACCCTTACAGTGAATTACACAATGTCTAGGTTAATTTATTCTGCAATCAGCAGAGGGCTAGAAATGGATATCCATCAGTCCGAACATGCCCTCAGGCCTGGATCTTCTGCAGGTGGACTGCAGAGAGAGAGCACTGAGAAGCACAGATTTGTTAGATGGTTGCAGATGTATCCACGGCTGGGTGGGAGCTGGGGTGCTTGTCAAACAGATCATCTGCCACTGAGCCAAGTACTACGTAGGGCTCCATTGTGGACAACACAGGGTGCTGTGAAAACCTGTTCAGTCTCCAGCCCCAAGCTACATTTGTACTTTCCCTTACTTTGTGTTACAAACAAGCTTCATGTATTAGCATGAGGATGGAGATAGACCATGTGCTTCTGTTAACATCGTAATTTCCACATTTTACTTATCTAGAAAGCATTCCTTTTCCTTAGCTCTTAGGCTCACATGGGGCAGAATACCATCATTCATTTTCTTTACTGGTAACCAGTTAAGCTGGCACAAGTCAAGCTCAATGTCTTGTGTGCACTGAAAATTAATTTTAGAATAAATTCAGAGGAACAGATAACTAAGGAAACTGTCTCTTCTCATGACCGTGCAATTTAGCCTACCTCAGGTAGATGAGGCTGGCTTGCCTCTGGGGGGAAGCTGGTTAGAGATGTAGATCATATATTCTGAAACATCAATCAATAGCTGCCACATTTTATCCTGTACTCATATCAAAACGTTTATTCTTTAATCCTTCAATTATTATCACTCAAATGGTAATGCTGAGAACTGGAATACATACAGGTACTCAAACTACAGGATCACATGAAAAAGGATGATGTTGATATATAAATGTAAAAACACTTCCAGGCCAAAATACATTCCATTATTTGTTTCTGCAGAGTAAACCAAATGATAGAAAAGGGAATTCTTACCTGGAGTCTTGAAGTTCCTCAGCTGGGAGGGGGTATCGTAAACTTCAAGGATCCAGTCACCGGTGGCTCGCTCTCCCCAGCAATGAATGGTCATGAACTCCCAGTTTTTAAATCCTTCCATAGAATGATCAAAGAGCCTATGAGAGAATCAGAAAGCACTGTTTTGTATGTTATTTAGAATCCAGTGAAGGTCAAATCAAGACCATGACCAGTCATCTTTTTGTAACCATCAGCAGGTTCAGCTCAATACTGGAGGCTGTCTTCCTCCTGGAGGTTGACAATTAGTAGACCCAAACGCATGTCTTTGTTCTACCACAGGCAAATAGGCACAGGGATGGCCTTGTAATAGCAAATCTGGAAGTGGTAAACATTTGGGTATCCGGAAAACCAGGCTATGACTCTACCCACAAGAGTGATAGTATCAAGTATTAAAGATGTGGAGCAACTGAAACTCTCTTACGCTGCTAATGGGAATGCAAAATGGTACAACTGCTCTGAAAATAGTCTGGTAGTTCTTACCATGTAACTCAACAATCCCCCTCCCAGACATTTACCCGAGAAGTGAAAACATATGTTCACACAAAGAACTCCACATGAATGTTCACAGCAGCTTTATTCGTAATCCTTGAAAACTGTTAACAACTCAAATGTCCCTCAGCTAGTGAATGGGTAATCAAGTTCTGGTATATTCATACGACAAAATACTACCCAGTAATAAAAACTATTGAACTACTAATAAATGCAACAACATGAATTAGTTTCAAAAGCATTTAAACTAAATGAAAGAAGTCAGACACAAAAGACTATGTGCTGTAGGATTCAATTTATATGACATTCTAGAAAAGGAATGTAAACAGAAATAGATCAGTGGATGCCAGGGGCTGGGAGGGAAGAGGGGGCATGGTGGAAGTTCTGGGGGTGACAGAATTGTTTTATATCTTGAAAATAACGGTGTATGGTTATACAATAATATTTGTCAAAACTCATTAAGTTACTCACATTAAAAAGTGAATTGTATTGTGTGTAAATTATGCCTCAGTAAAAAGACCCTGCCACTCATCTTAACCAGTTCAGGGAGTCATGCCTGGAAGTCCAGCCTACATTCTACTCTTCTAGCTCTTCTAATGGTTTTCTAAGCTCTGAATTCCCTACATGAAATCTCTTTCTGCTTGAAATAGCTAGAATTGTTTGCTGTGATATAATCCTGAGGGATATAAAATATGAAAACATTAAATAAAAGAAAACAAAATCCTCATTAAGAATAAAGAGATGTCGGGGCGCCTGGGTGGCTCAGTTGGTTAAGTGTCTGCCTTCAGCTCAGGTCATGATCCCAGGGTCCTGGAATCGAGCCCCGCATCAAGCTCCCTGCTCAGTGGGAAGCCTGCTTCTCCCTCTCCCACTCCCCCTGCTTGTGTTCCCTCTCTCGCTTTGTCTCTGTCAAAAAAAAAAAAAAAAAAAAAAAGAATAAAGAGATGTCAATAGATAATGTATAAAACAAGCCCATGAAGAAAGAGACATATCATTTATATAGGCACATAATGTAGAATTGACAACCCAAAGAAATATTAAGAAGATTTCTATAGAGGGGTGCCTGGCTGGCTCAGTCAGTAGAACATGCAACTTTTTTTTTTTTTTTTTAAGATTTTATTTATTTATTTGAGAGAGAGAGAGATGAGAGTGAGAACACAAGCACGAAGAGTGGGAAAGGGAGAAGCAGGTTTCCCGCTGAGCAGAGAACCTGACGTGGGGCTCAATCCCAGAACCCTGGGATCATGACCTGAGCCGAAGGCAGATGCTTAATGACTGAGCCACCCAGGCACCCCAGAACATGCAACTCTTGATCTTGGGGTTATGAGTTCAAGCCCCATGTTGGGTGTAGACCCTACTTAGAAAAAGATTTCTATAGAGATGGGACATAGAAGGTTAAAAACTAAAAGATGGGGCAAGAAACTGATTTTTTTTTTTTTAAGAATATTTAAAAAAAATTATGTGCGTCTATTATTTTTGTTGAAAAAATAATAAAACTAGAGAAAGAATTTGAGAGCTGGAGTGGCAAACAGAGAGGCAAAAACAACCCTAGTATTGTCTTAGGAGCAACCATGTCCAGTTACCGGGACATAACTGTCCTTCCGTGGAGACAAAGTTCATGGCAACTGGATGTTGATGGCTATTCAAAACATGCAATCAACTCTCCTTGCTTTAATTTCATGCTCACCAAGGAAATTGGTGGGTATAATCTGACATTCTATGTATATCTTCCCATTGGGAGAAAAAGTGCCCTTCTGAAACCAAAAATAAACCAGTTTAATCTCCTTATAATTTAATATACTAGAATTCTGATTTTTTACATACAAAAGCGTTCTATCAATATGTTTGAGGATCCCTCTAAAATGACAGCTGGATCCTGAAACTGAAGGGTTGGTTGGCATAACTGGAATGTATTAGGTAAATGGCGGACACTCGGCAGTTTTCCCTAGAGAAACTCAATAAACAGGAAAATCACCTCTATGTGTTCCTCAGCCCTTAGAAGAAGAAAAAGGGCAAGTAGTTATCGGCATTGGCAAAGTGTCCCATGGCTGGAAAATTTGAGAAAGGCCGAGGTCGAGTCGAACAGATCTCTTTACTGGAGAACATCGCAGATCTCTGGGATGTTCAAATACGTTTTGTTAATTTCCATAATGGGGTTAATGGTAGGAAGTAATTTTCAAAGCTTCTATGAGTGAGAAGCCCCTTTTTCTCTTTTTAGAATATCTGTATACTATCTATAAGGGTTAGTTCTGAACAGAGGAGTATGGCATTTCAATGAGAACCATATTGGATGCGGTGGCTTACCCTCATGGTAACAGGGATGGAAATAGTGGCTCCTTACATGAATGTCTTCCTAGTATAAAAGATTGATTAAAGAGCTTCATTAGATTGGGGATGGTGCATTTTGTGGAGATCCCATAATGCATGCACTACCACGACAGGGCTTGGTTCATAAGCTTATGGCTTAAAACTAGACTTGGCCAGGAAGAAACTGCTGGCTCATCATATAACTGACTTACATACAGAGAGTCCTTCACGTAAACCCAGAGGGTGGGTATGTTGGATGAAAAGGAGAAACAGCGGTGGGGAAGGAGGAGGCTTTTCAAATCTCCCTTCCTCTCAGACAGATGTTACAGAGGGGAGTATGTTGACGGAGACATGCGTGGAGGCAGAAACCAATCTAGAACCACTTCTCAGCCCACAGAGTTCTGATTTAGGCTCGAGATCACTGAAGCCATTGTGCCATTTGAGGGCACCGAAGCAACAACTTGTCACATAATACCTTTCCAAGAGTGCCAAACTTAAAAGCAATTCCCAAACAGTTTAGACAGAGCATTTGGCTCATTGCCTCACGTCCAAAAACTACAAAGGAGACTTGAGGCTGCCATCACATGAGGGGCAGTCTTGTTTCCACAACCGTAGCCAACTTCTAATTACTCATGGGTCAATTATTTGACTGCTGGATTAGCGGACCCTGTGTTTCTCCTCTTCTACCCTTTCCTGTCCACCTTTGAAAATCATGCCATTGCTGCCAATCACTTTTAAATCACATTCGGAACCCAAATTAAATATAAACCGGGTGCCAGGAAGAAATATCCATAATCAGCATTCAAATAAGTGTTTCAAAGCCCGAATATAAATGGGCTTTGTCTATCTGGCTAAGCGGTTGCCCACCCCGGTCTCTTCCCTTTATGCAGAGCTGAATGCTCATTAATTTCATGTGGACATAAAAGTTGAGGAGACGAATTAAAAATGCAGCCAAACACGATCATTGCATTTTGCTAAAGGAGTTGATGGGGAAAGAAATAGACACTGATTACTGCTGTTGTTTCGACTAGCTGGCCATTCACGTTTCTAATCTCACCCCGTTCTTTATTTTCTTCTGATTCAGCACTTAAACTAGTCCCGACTTTTTGGCACCGCAACAATGATCAACCCGGCCTCGTCTGTATATCACAGAAGGTAACCATTCACGTTTCTAATCTCACCCCGTTCTTTAATTTTTTCTGGTTCAGCACTTAAAACTAGTCCCGATTTTTTTGGCACCGTAACAATGATCAACCCGGCCTCATCTGTATATCACAGAAGGTAACGCTGGTAGTAGATTCAATTTGTGTTGCAAACAACACTCTTGCTCAAGACAAGCAAGTGTCAAAGCACTGGACACCAGCTAAAGAGATTCTCATTGTGTGGTCTCCATTTATCAACTAAAAAGTCCAACGCCCAGTCTGAACGTCTGCGCTGGGCCAACGGTGAAGAAACCCAACACATGCTAACATTAGCATGGATAAAATGTCAGTAAAGCAGGGCCAGTGTGCGGAAGGCTGGAGTAATTAACTCCATGGCCGATTCACATCCTCTGTTGCAGCGAAACCCCGTCAGAGTTGACTTCATAATCATGTGCTCGATGAAATGATATATGCCTGTGATAGCACAAATTAATTATGCATTCAATTATTAAAATGGTGCTCCACAGCCCTATCCCTGTGAGCAGTTTTCAAATAAATTACTTTGGATGAAGCCTGGTAGAAAAGACGGCCATTAAGTGCAGTGCATCCTTCTGAGGAATTAACTCAGGAAATAACTCATATAATTAGTGTAAGCTTTCTTCCCCCTTTCACTTAAAGAGTCTAGCCAATGTGTCAAGGCTACAACATTCTTCAGTGGTGTTATGGCAACTAAATAACAAGACATTTTATAAGTACTGACAGCTATGTGTTATCATATAATTATTTCTAAAGTTATAAAGGGATCTTAATTTCAGAATCATCTACTACTCCCCAAACAGTATTTATGTTCATTACGGAATTAGACTTTAGACAGGTGTTTTTAGAAGTTGCCTTTTTCTTTCTTTCTCTGTCTCTTAAAATACTTAATTATTATTTTCTTTTTAGGGCTTTATCGCAATTTAACGTAGAACTTACAGAATGCTTGAAGCGCTCATTTGGCTTAACTGTCATTCAGTTTTTTATTTTCTTTAGCTCTGTTCGGCTTTTGCAAGTTTTAAATGATTTGCTTCTGAAATAGGGTATTTAAAATGCACTAAGTTTTTCTGTCTCTCCTCATTGAAGTTACTTCTTTAAGAAAGGTTGAGAGAGAGGTACTAGTT